CGGCTATTTCTTTAATTCGCGACGCCTTTGCCCCTCGAATTGGCCTCCACGTGCGTCGAATCTTCCCAAAATCGCAATGAATATGTCATATAATGCTAAAGAGACAATACCCAATCGAAAGCACTCGAAAAATATCAAAATTCACGAATTTGGCCAAAACTCGAACCCCGGGCCCACGTCTTGAAACTAAGAAATTTGTACGTCAACGGGTTCCTTATCTCTCCACGAGTCTATACATACAAAAATTTCTCAAATCGGACCACAAATGGCCCCTCAAATCCCAAATTTAGAATTTCAATTTCAAGCCCTAATTTCTTACAATTTGGCTATATTTTCATGAATTTCAAGGATGATTTCACAATATAATCATGTTTTTAACTCATAAAACTTACCTCCAATCAATCCTCTTCGAATCCCTCTTCAATTGCTCCCAAGTAGCTCTCAAAATGCCCAAAAATGGTGAAAGAAATGACTTAGCTCGCGGATGAAATGTCTTATAAATTCACTGCCCAGATTTTGTTTCGGAAGTACTATTCACCCGCGCGGTCACTGTTCACACGCGCGGTTACTGTTCACGCGCGGTTACTGTTCACGCTGCTAAAAAATACAGCAGCAGCCAAAGAAATTGCTGCACTTTTCTTTTTACTAAAATGGCTCTAACTCCATCATACGAATTCAGAATTCGATGATTCTTGTTCCTCNGATGATTCTTGTTCCTATGAGTCACAAATAATGATACGAACATAGTCCTTCAATCGAAACTCAATTCAGAGCTTGTTTGCTCAGTGCGATATCCATTTCGCTCGTTAAACAATTAACTCATGTTTCGTGTCAAAAATCCAATCGCGACTTGATGAAATTAGACCAAACTTTCCAGATCACTCCTATAATTCATTATTTAAATTCTGGAATCTCGAAATAAATTTCGATCTCTAGAACTAAAAATGGACCTTTGGATCATTACATACTTATGCTCAAACGACAAAAATCTTCCAAAAACTCTTCCAAAACTTATCCGAGCCTCATGGGACCCCGACCAAACATGCCAACATAATTCATAACGTTATTCAAACCTCTTCCAATCATCAAAATACCTCAAACAACATCAAATTATCCAAAACTCATCGAATTCAAGCCTAATTTTCTAAAAACTTCCGAAATACACTTTCGATCAAAAACCCGACCAAACCACGTCCGAATGACCTGAAATTTTGCACACATATCCCAAGTCACCTAACAAAGCTACAGCAACTCTCGGAATTCCATTCCGACTCTCGGATCAAAATCTCACCTATCTACCGGAATTCGCCAAAATAGTAACTTCGTCAATTCAAGCCTAATTATACACCGGACCTCCAAAATTACTTCCGATCACACTCCTTAGTCACAAATCATCCCCCGAAGCTAACCGAATCATCGGAATTCACATCCGAGCCCTCTAACTCATAAGTCAATATCGGGCAACTTAAGCCTTCTTAAAAGAGACTAAGTGTCTCATTTCTTATCAAAACCACTCCAAACCAACTCGATCACATAACGGGCCAGGTCGTCACAGTAAAGTAAGCTGATGGGATTCGAACTTGCATTGTGGGTTACGAAAAATCAATTTGGGTTCCACACCTTACCATTGAACCAGCAAAACATTTTGTAACTGGGTTCCTATATAAATATTGTTATACATTTAATTATTTTTTAATATAAATATAAGGTCTAGGCAAAAGTTACTGGGTTACCGGGAACCCATACTTATCACTGTAGATCCGCCCCTGGGTAAAAGTCTTGTGACTTTTATATTAAAAAGTATAGTTATATAATTTTAATTAAAAGAAAGTCTTAATTACATGTCCATTTGTGAAATTTACCGAGAAAACTTACTATAATAATTATCTATAGGTCTCGTACTGGACAGAAAGTACTCTTTTGTATCATGCATGTGAAATATATAAATGGGGCATCATGGATATTTACAATATTAAAATTAAAAAAGTGTATTGGTGGTGAAAAAGAGCTACACGTGTAATATTATACTGCTGACATGTCATAACACGTAAGTGCAATGATATAGTAACATGTGGCAGTCTTACTTGATAGAATAAGAAAAGGCATGGGAGGGAAACATCCACGAGGTAGTACCGAGCCTAACAACTGGCAAAGACTAAATCAAGACAGTAAAAAGGGAAGATTCATGAACCTTCAATTAATAGGAGAGGAATCAGAATCGTTACAGAATCTCGTGGACAGTTACGATTAACAATTATAACGGATCATTAATGACATTAAAGCTCGTAATGATTTGGCCATAAATAAAAAAAATGTTATATGTGTAAACCTCTATATAAGGGGATAGAATTTCACTTGTAAGGACATATGGGACAATATTGGTATATATTCACTTTACTTTTCTGCTTTTCTTGAAATTCTCTATATTGACTTTGCAATCAATTATTTGCTTATTTATTCTTGTTATTTTCCTTTGATACCATTGAGAAAGCGAAGCAAAACTTGGTTATCAGAAACCGATTTTCTTCTAAAATTATCTTTGACCGAAAGATATATTTTTAGTTAAACAAATTGGTTCCGTCACCAGGAATCTGATAATCTTTTCACTTTCTAAATTTATTTTTCTGTCAAACAACCATATCGACTACCAACGACAACAACCAACAGAATAGACAAGAGAATTACACTACAAAAAATCGGAATTATTGCGGCGGTAACCGCCGTAATATATGTCATAATACGGCAGTTCCAGGCGCCACTAGTGCGTATGTTAAAATGACGTTATTTTTATAATTACGCCGGGTCAAAACCGCCACTAATTAGAACAATCTTTAATAATTCTTTTCCGCTAATATTTAATATTAAATAACGTAAAAACTCCTAAAGCCCTAAACATTTTTATTTAATGATAACTAAATATCATTAAAACTCCTATAGCCCTAAACAGACGGTACACCTTCTCTCTCTTTCTCTCTAAAGCCCTAAACGATTCCCCCAAATCAATATTCATTATTGAGATTACAATAATGTAAGACGGTCATATCCTTTAACGATTCTCCCAAATCCTTTAGCTTTTATGTAAGGAGATCAGATTTCAACGTTTAAGGTAATGTGTTTGAATTCGTCTATAAATAGCCATTTTTCTAATAAATACTTGCTTCAATACGTCTCCGGTTTCAAGTCGTTTGTGTAATTCCTTCCAAAATGCCGTTGATTTCACTTATTTAAGGCTTGCATGTGTGTGTATTGGATGGATATCAGTTTAAATCACTGATTTTAGCCGTGAATTTCACTGATTTAGGTTTCGATTTTGCTGATTTAGCCATTGATTTTATTGATTTTAGGTGTGCATGCGTGTGTATTGGACGAAGATCAGCTTAAATCACTGATTTTAGCTATCGATTCACTGCTTAAGCCATCAATTTCACCGTTTGGTAGTCAAATTTATTGATTTGGACGTCGATTTCATTGGTTTAGCTGTCCATTTCTGCTAATAGTTTTATTTCATTTTTCTTTTATTTTTATGTCAAGTTTTGTTACTTTTCTGTTCAATTACGTTTGTGTTTGTTTAAATTTTGACATTTTTAGTTTTTGTTTTGTTAATATTAACCTAAATATCATTTATGGCCTTGATAGGTAGCCGAGGAATCTAAAATAGCTGGTAAAGCTATTGGGATCGACGTCGACAAAGTTATATTTGATAGGTATAATTAACTTTATCTTTTCTTTGAGCAACTTTCTTTTTTTTTAAAGGTAAATTGATTCTTTCTTCACTGCATGGAATAGTAATACCTCCCATGGGATGATTGCATCCAAACTCTTCTTTAGCCCAATGTAACAAATATTGAAATAAAGGGTGATTTTGAACTAAATTGAAGCTTTGAAGTATATTAAAAATGAAACTGACTTGTGTTTGAAATGGAAAATGGAGAACTAGACTCTCTCTCTCTCTCTATATATATATATATATAGAGACTTCAATCCTTAAATTGGCAATAAAGTCCGCACACAACTCTCATTTGTCACTAGTTTATTGAATTTGTAATCTAAAAATTGAAGTTACATATGCCCATATTTCAATTTATATGCAATTTTCTCCAAATGGAGTGAATAGATATTGAGGATTCATATTAATTGGTAATATGAGATAAAGGCATAGTAGTAGTTGTTGATGCTGAGAATTAAATCAGATTTATAAAAATAGGAAGCTCCTTTTATTGGCAATTTTCATTTCTCTTGTAATTTGACAATTGGGTCAGATTTATTAAGGATAGGAAGTTCCATTAATCAACATTTTTTTTCCAGTCAGTTGACAATTGAGTCAGATTTGTAAAATGGGTCAATAGAGCAGAGTAAAGTTTGAGGATTCTGACTAGTTTTGGGATTGAGGTAGATAGTAGAGTAGTTGTTGGTGATGACAATTGGATCGGATTTGTGAATAATAGGAAATTCTAGTTGTGATAGTTTTTTTCTTTGTTTATTTCTTGCTTTGGTTTCCGTTTACATATTCTTCAGAAGTTAAAAAGTGTGATTAAGTGATTACTATTCTTTTGATTTTCATATAGTGGCTATGAACTAGCTTTTTCATTTTGATATTGTGATGTTTTCTTATATCTTCTTTTCTAGCCGTGCCAATTGATAAATCTTGGATTAACAAACCATAAAATACACTTGAATATCCGGATGGGCTTAAAAAATTTTGCTTTTGAGTATGGGTCTATTGATGGGCGTGTAATTAAGTGTCTGCATTCGAAATGTGGTTTTAACAAGTGGCAAAGAAGAAATATAGTTGAAGAACACCTGACTTGTAAGCCTTTTCCAAAAAATTATAAAGTTTGGTATTTGCATGGTGAAGAATCAAATGCAACTATGCCACAAACGTTTTAGAGAACACATGTCATAGAAGAAACTCTCCACCCCCAAGATCCAATGGTAACCATGATTAATAATGCATTTGGGTTCATATGGAACAATATCAATGAGCCTAGTGTGTTTTGTGAGCCTATCAATAGTGAAAAAATATTTAATGAAGGGCATAATGAAGAATATGTACAGTTCTATGAGCTGGTAGAAGATGGCAATCAACCATTATATGAAGGGTGCGCGAAGTATTCTAAATTGTCCTTTCTAGTCAAATTGTATCATATCAAGTGTTTGTGCCGAATGATTGACAAAACGATGAGTATGATATTAGAAATATTAAAAGATGCCTTTGAAGATGCCAAGATTTCTTCTTTTTATGAGGCCAAAAAAGCCATCAACAAACTTCGTCTTAATTATAATAAGATACATGCTTGCCCAAATGATTGTATGTTATATTTTGGGGGAGATAAAGGCTTACAAGAATGCAAAAAGTACAAGACATTTAGGTGGAAGGACAATAAAAAGAAGCAGCCCGCAAAGATTTTGTGGTACTTTCCACTAAAGCCAAGGCTACAAATATTGTTCATGTACTCTAAAACTACTGAGTCTATGAGATGGCATTCTTCTGCGGGTAACCAAGATGGATTGATGAGGCATCCAAGGGATTCTCAGGCCTGGAAGGCATTTGACTTGCTTCATCCTGAATTTGATGTAGATCCTAGGAATGTACGACTAGGCTTATCTAGTGATGGTTTCAATCCTTTTAGAACAATGGAAACAAACTATAGTATTTGGCCTATGGTTCTTATTCCATACAATCGTCCTCCTTGGGAGTGCATGAAACAAACTTCATTCATTCTTTCAATGATCATTTTAGGAAAACAAATGCTCGACAATGACATAGACGTGTACTTACATCCTCTTATCCAAGAGTTGAGAGAATTGTAGTACGATGAAGTGCAAACATTAGACTCTTCAAAGAATGAAATTTTTAAAATGTGAGTAGCCTTGATGTGGACAAGTAGTGATTTTTCTAGGCTTGTCACCTTATCTGGATGGAACACATACACTCAGTTTGCTTGTTCCACGTGTAACTTTGATACAGACTCTTGACGATTGAAGCATAGTAGAAAATGGTGTTTCATGGTTCATCGTCATTTTTTTGAAAGCGGCCATTGGTTTAGATTGCAGCGTGTCCGTTATAATGGGAAAATTGAGCAACGGGAGCCACCAATAGCATTATCAGGGTCAGACAAATTGAAACAAATGGAGGGAATCAATGCTAGTTTTGGAAAGTACCTGAGTCGAATGCTAAAGGTAAAAGAACTCGAGGAAAAACTATTGCTGAAGATAGACCGAAACAATGGAGAAAGAGAAGCATACTTTTTGATCTTCTTTATTGGGAATCTAACTTGTTGCATCATAATCTAGACCTTATGCACATTGAGAAGAATGCGTGTGAGAATGTGATATATACTTTGCTCAATAATACTGAAAAGTCAAAAGACAATCTTAAAGCTCGGAATGATCTTAGAGAAATGGGTATAAGGAAAGAACTTTGGGCAGATGAGAATGAAAGTTATCGTCCAGTCTTGTTCACTCTTTTAAATTCAAAGAACAGTGGATTTAAGAAAGACATATTTTTGTGAAATTTAAAGAATGTCAAAATGCCCGATGGATACGCTAGCAACATTTCAAGATGTGTCGACTTGAAACAACAAAAGCTCAAGTCAATGAAGAGTCATGATTTTCACATTCTCATGCAGCACTTGTTACCAATTTCCATACGTAATATTTTACTAGACAAGGTGACTGCAGTATTAATAGAGTTAAGTTCATTCTTCCAACAACTCTGTGCCAAAAGCTTAAGTCCCTTAGACCTTGACAGGCTCCAGTCTCGGTATTTTATCACCATGAATCACCGGGAAATGTTATTCCCTCCTAAATTCTTTACAATCATGGTTCATTTAACTTGTCATCTAGCCGGTGAAGCAAAACTTGGGGACCTCAACAATGTCAGTGGATGTATCCTATCGAGAGGTAAACAATATTTCTTATTGCTTGATTGGAGCTTGTTCATTAAGAATAGATGTTAATTTGTATCCATCAACTAATTTTTGATCTTTCGTTTAGGTATTTGGGACACTTCAAATCCTATGTGCGAAACATGTCATAACCAGAAGATTCTATAGCTGAAGGATATCTAGCTGAAGAGGCTCTTACTTTTTGTTCCCAGTATATTAAAGGGATTGAGACAAGATTTAATAGGCCACGCCGTGTTGACGATTTTCCGGAAGATAGAGGCTCGGCGAATTCATCTAGTATTTTCCCACCAGTTGGTAAAGGACTAGGAGCTATAACATTTGAATTGTCACCTATGGCAAAACGTCAAGCACATCGATATGTGTTACTAAATTGTCCACAAGTCATGCCATTCATTACGTGAGTATGTAAGGCAAATCTAAATAAAACATGCATTAAATACATGAAAACATATGTTAATTGTTATATATATATATATATATATATCAAAATCTCATGTAGTGAATTTAAATCTTATGTGCAGAGGCGGTGGAAGGGTCGAAAGCCTTCAAACGCGGAGATAGAGAAAATAGTTAGTAAAAACTTTATTGATTGGTTTCCTCGAAGGTTGGTTACAAATGTATTAGAATTTTATAACTTTAAATTTGTGACTAACACATTTTACATTCTTGTTTCAGATTGTTAATCCAGACATTTCAAATATTGTGTGTCATAGACTAATGTTTTTAGCAGATGGTCAGCACCATATGCTACAAGGTTTACATCATTTAATATCAATGAGTTCAAATTTCGAACAACAACTCAAGAGCATGGGTTGAAAATGCAAAACAGTAGGTTTTTTTTACTTCGTCCACATCTTGTATTGATAGTGGTGCTGATGGAAATTTGAGGCAAGCAGATTTGCCATATTATGGCAAATTAGAAGATATCATTGTGCTTAACTACTATCAATTTAGGGTTACACTATTTAAGTGTAAATGGGCTGACACAACTAGGGATAGAAAGTTTAGAAAGGATGCATGAGGATTTCCTTCTGTTAATTTTTCACAATTGATTCACATTGGTGATCGTGAAGAACATACTCCATATATTGAAGCTTCACAAGCTTAAATGGTATATTATGTGGATGATGAGGTGAATAAAGGATGGAGTACTGTTGTTCACTTGAAACCAAGAGACTAGTATGAAATGGGAGAAGGAGAGAATGAAATTCCTAAGAATGAGCCATTTCCAGTGCAAGACTTAGATCAATTCTTTGATGATGTGAATGATATAATTTTTGAGTCGGGAGGATAAAATTGATGAAGTATTAGGTGAATACGACATTGAAAATAAGATTGAGGAAGATGAACATATTTGAAGAGTCACTGCCAACCCATTTTTAGTCTAAGAAACCAAACTGTATCTATGCTTATAGTTGATCAACAATATTGAAAATTCCTTATTTTTTTGCTTTGGCATTATAAATTATTGACTTGTTCAGCTATTTTGATTTGATAGAGTTGTATATGTTGTTACTTTTATTGGTCAGCTATTGTATATCAGCACTTGTTATTATTGTTGCATCTATTTGAAATTTTGGTAACACAACTTTTCAATTTGTAGTATTCAATTATAATTCTGTCGTTGTACAATCTTAATAGGGCATGGTTATTTTTGGCAAGCATAAACGTTACTCGGATACTTGAGGGAACCAAGACAAGGAGTTTCTACTTCTACTCTTAGAAAGGTAGTTTTTATCTCTGTTGTGTAATGGTTTTCACTTCAATCTTCAATACACTAATGATACAACAACTGATACACATGTTATAGGGGGGTCAGATTTATTCCATGTATACATACTTCTGCAATATGTAAATGTGTGCCTTCAAAATTTGGGAATTGGATGTGGTCTTGTAACCTCTATTTTTGTAAGATGTTATATCTGAGATACGCCGTATAAAATGATAAAATTGATAATTTCCGAGCAAAGTAACTTCAATCTCAGTAGCATTAAGTTGTCATGTTGTTATATAGATACTTTGTATGCAGAAGTCAAGGAAGGAAAGCAGGTGAATAAGAATGTTGCAACTCTGAGCATTTGTTCAAGTAGCTTCAATTGATATATATATATATATATATATATATATATATATCTTTTTCTCACTAGAGTTTTCAGAAAGATATCCCAGTTTATCTTTAATTTTTGGTGCATGAATGCCTCATACTAGTTGTGATTCACTGTAGATATTTATTTCCATTAAACCTCATGTATCTTGCATTCTTATAATGCTTTGATTCCAGTAAAAGAATGATTAAGCACATGTCCCGTTAGTTTCTAATTGAAAAAACTTCATAGTGCAAGCAACAACTTGAGCCCAATATTTTAGCCTTGCCTTCACATCTTCGGGATCATCACTTGAGGTAAGAAAAAGATGTTGAGGATTAGCCCAATATTTCATCCTGTAATTCCACTATGTGAATCTCAATTTAACTAGAAAACAACACACCCTTTGCCAAGTCTTATTAGTTGATAAACTTGCACTGCTATTGTCACGACCCAAAATTCCTCCGAAGGAGTCGTGATGACGCCTAGTCTCTAAACTAGGTAAGCCTAACATTAACTGAGATAACATTGATATTTGCTAACATTAATTTAAATAACTCTTAACAAATTACAATTTCCAAAACCGGTGGTACTAGTCATAAGCCTTTCTAAGAGTAGTTATACAAATAAATACATCACTATCCCAAAACAAAGGAACAAATGGAAATAAATACAAATGAAGGTGACTCCGAGGCATGCGAACGCAGCAACATGTTTGCCTTGAGTCTACACCGCAACGACCCACATAGCTACTACCGATCAAATACCTGGATCTATACACAAATATATATAGAAGTATAGTATAAGTACACCACAGCGGTGCCCAGTAAGTATCAAGGTTAACCTCGGTGGGGTAGTAACGAGGAACAGTCCAGACACATACTGGTCAAATAATTGAACAGGATATGATAATAAGCTATCAACCTAAAGATGACAAGGTAATATCAATAGTAGGGAAAGAACAAACTACAATCAGTAGAAACAATAAAGGAAAATACGGATGGAAACGAAAGATAACCAAATAAATTAACACCAACATAGCTGGAACATAGACAAGTAAAAATGTACTCAAACAAGGAAGGCGATGTCAGCTCAATAAATCATATCATTTCCGATGCACAATTCCAGCCATCTCAAACTCAATGTCTCATATTATAACCTCAATTACCAAACCTTTAGCACACACGACACCTTGTGCCCATATATTTCTATCTCTCTTTGCACAACAACGTTCTCATGTTACTCAGTACATAGGATCCATAACCAATGGAATAAAGATGTTCAAGGAGCCTTATTTACATAATATAAAGTAGAGAACATCTTCTAAGCCAATTAGGAACTCAGCAAGAAAAGATGAAGTTATTTTTAGAAATTATTTGATCAAAAAAAGTACCATTTTCAATTAAAATACAACATCGAATGAATTATTACCTTTAACATGAGATTTAATAAATTAACTTAGTAGAAATTTCTTTTTAAGTAAAATACTACCACAGACGATTTAAGGAAATTTAATTGAGTAACTAATTGAATTTAAAATGAAACAATTATTGAAATTTGAAGTATTAATATATATATATAAATACGAGAAGTATTGAAAACACTATGGGGTTCCATCACAAAGGATCACAACAGTAAAGGAATCTAAATAGTTAAAACAATTGAATTGATAACCACAAATGAGCACAACAAAAAGAAAGTGCACGACATCACCCTTCGTGCTTTATCACTCTTCCTCACCATATGCATAAATAGAAATGTGCACGGCATCACACTTTGTTCTTTAACTCTCTCATAATCATGGCACGACATCACCCTACATGCTTTTACTCTCAATAATGTGGCACAACATCACCCTTCATGCTTTTACTCTCAATAATGTGGCTCGGCATAACCCTTCGTGCTTTTACACTCACAATATCGGCACGACATCACCCTTCATGCTTTACACTCTCTCACAATATCATGCACGACATCACCCTTCTTGCTTTACACTCTTCCTCACCCAAACAATAGAAACAATAACATTCCGGTAAGAGAATCAACAATAGAAACAATAACATCCCGGCAAGGAAATCAACAATAAAAATAATAACATCCCTGCAAGGGAATCAGCAATAGAAACAATAACCTCCCGACAAGGGAATCAACAATAACCAATCTTGTTTCAATAGTTAGCTTCGCAATATAGATCTCAACTTGAGTCAATACTCAACAATAGTCAATTACCAAGAGAATGTCATAAGCCTTGTTTAACATGAATAATCGTCAATTTAAGCATGAATAGTACATAATAAGGATCATGGAAAAACCAAGAAGCACAATAACCTTAACAAAACAACAAGGCATAATAAGCACATGATAACTTGTCACGACCCTGATTTCCCACCCTCAGGAGTCGTGATGGTGCCTACTAATGGGAGCTAGGCAAGCCAAACCTTAACTACTTGCTACACTTTCATTTTTGCTTCTTTTTAACAAACAAAAATCGATAATAAGATAAAAGCGGAATTTTAAATAAATAAGCGGAAATCAACAATTATATGTCCTAAGACTACGTCTATTACAACTTTTAAAACCTCAAATACCCAAAACCTGGTGTCACAGTATCACAGACTGTCTAAGAGTTACAACATACAAGGTTTGAAGAAAATACAATACACTGTTTCTGAATAAAGGAAATGAAACAGGAAATAGAGATAGAGGGAGACGCCAGGACCTGCGGACGCCTGCAGGTCTACCTTGGGTGTCCGAGTGGACTGAAGGAAGCCCTCCAACTACTGTTCGAAAGCTGCTCCTGGACCTGTATACAGTGCAGAGTGTTGTATCAGCACAACCGACCCCATGTGCTGGTAAGTGTCTAGCCTAACCTCGGCGAAGTAGTAACGAGGCTATGACCATACTACCACATAAACCTGTGCAATTTAACTAAATACAGCAGAAAAGAAGTACAGAAAGAAACAGTCATGTACAATCAAGTATGGGAGGGGGAAAACATGCTGCGGGGAAACAACGAGTATCAATAAGAAATCATCAATTTAGTGTAGAGAAAACCGTAACACAGTTATCAATAAAAATTAGGAATCAAAACAAGTGCACAACATCACCCTTCGTGCTTTTACTCTCTCTTACCAAAATAATACACGACATCACCCCTCGTGCTTTACGCTCTTCCTCACCCAAACAACAATCACAAGACAATTAGGGTAAGGGAATCTATAACCTCGAAGTAAATCAAATAACAACAAGTAATGAAAGAAACAATATAACTCGGATATTAACAAAGAATCAGAAATCAACAAATGCACGACATCACCCTTCGTGCTTTTACTCTCCTCCTCACCAAAGCAATCATATAATAAAAATGTGCACGGCATCACCCTTCGTGCTTTTACTCTTTTTCCTCACCAAATAATCAATAAAATCAGCGTGGAATGGTACATCGTGCTTTACACTCTTTCCTCACAATAACAAATAATGCATGACATCACCCTTCGTGCTTCAACTCTCTTCCTTACCCAAACAATAATAAAAAAAATAGGGTAAGGAAATAAACAAAAATGTAATAGAAACCCCGGAAAAGGGAACAGCAGTTAAACAATTAAATCCCCGGCAAGGGAGCAACAATTAAACAATTAAATCCTGGCAAGGGAACAACAAATAAATCAACAATAGCCCAACAAGGGTGACAACATAATGATCTCTTCTCTTTCTTAAATTTACTTTACAATTCACTTCATAACTCGAGCCAATGCTCTAGAGGTGCGATTATCACTTATATTTCCACAACTCATTTCAGAACTCGAGCCAATGCTCTAAAAGTTCAATTGTCACTTATACTTTCACAATTTCGCTATACAACTTGAGCCATCACTCCTCAATGTTCATAGATCACAATTCTTTCCACAAACTTTATACAACAATTAGAAATCTTCACCATGGCATGAATAATACCACGAAATCATGAAAAATCACAATATAAGACACACGGTCATGCTTGACACTATCGTATAGATATTCGTCACCATGCCTATACTTCGGACTCGACAAGAAACAAATAACAAATAGGACAAAACTCCTAATCCCTCAAGCTAAGGTTAGACCAAACACTTACCTCGATACAACAAACCCAATTTAAGCTTCAATTACCGCTTTACCTCTTGTTTCCACCACCAACTCGCTTGTATCTAGCCACAATTTTCTTAACGATATCAATAAATGCTAAATGAATCAATTCTAATGCATGAAAATAGGTTTTATAAATATTTCCCCATAAGGTCAAAAATCGACCCCGGGCCCACTTGGTCCAAACCCGAAATTCGGACAAAAACCTGATTACCCATTCCCCTACGAGATCAAATATGTAATTTGTTTTGAAATCGGACCTCAAATTTAGGTAAATCCCCATTTTTGTGAAAACCTTATTCTACCCAAAACACCCAATTTTCCCCATGAAAATAATTGATTTGAAGTTGAAATCATGTTAAAAGATGTTAATGATTGAAGAAAACTAGTTAAAAATGACTTACAATTGATTTGGAGAAGAAAGGTTATTCAAAAAATCACCTCTTATGTTTTTGGGGTTTTGAAAAGTGAAAAATAACTGAAAAGTCCGTTTAAATATACTCCTCTCAGACCCTCTCCGAGGACCGCACAAAAAGGATTACGGCCGCGGAGCTCCACCGCGGACCACATAAAAAGGACTGCGACCGCGGAGCTCCACCACGGACTGCAAGAAATCGAGTGCGGCCGCGGAGGCTTGGCCTTGCTCACCGCGGACCGCACAAATCCCTCCGTGGTCGCGGAGGCCCCACCGCGGACCGCGAGACCTGGCTTCAGAGACCTGCAACTTCTATGAATCTGCAACTTTTTC